TACCAGAGAGAAGAGTTGATGACTGTCAGCAGACAGGGTGTTTAATATTATTATTATGACGTGTATAACTGTAGCCTTAGCCATAATATGTTCTTATGTTTAATGTCATGACATGTTACTAGAGGTCGTGAGAATGTTTTTAGCTACACACTATGTAATCAACAGACAATCACACATTGATTTTCTTCATGTTTTGACTACTGCTCTGGCCAGCTGCATAGTTGGCATATCAGGTGGTGTCACGGTTTGATGTGCCTGTGTAGTATGGGGCTAGCCCAACCGAAGAGATATAATGTATAGGCCTGTTGGGGTTCAGGGTCTTTCATCATTCATCTGCCTGCGAGCAGTTTGGAGGTGCAAGATACCTGAGCGTGTAATGTTAATTTTACCTGTGATCCTTTGAAAAAATCAGCACTGTTTTGAAGCTACTCGGACTGCCTCGTCTCTCAGAGTTAGCATGGTAGCAAGAACTGGGTAACCCTTCAACTAGTATAAGACTTTGGGAAATGTTGTGCTATTAGATGAGAAGATCAACACCACTTAAATATTTTTGTAGATTTTTAGAAAATAACCCAATTCTTTCGTTGGAAGCATGAGAAGTGAGGACAGGAGAGGACTGTTTAAAATCAACAGAAAGTTTACTGAAAGTCTGATCACAGGAAAGTCTTACAGCGCTGGATTCAGAGAGATAGAGCTCCCGCAGGAAAACCAACTTCTGAACCATGAACTATGTTTTAACAATACATTTATCTTTTTGGGCTGCTCCGCCCTGGACAGAGGTACAACATTCAACAGCTTTTGATCCTATTGTCCATTTGGTGTGAACCAGAGCTCCCCCTTGTTTCGATGTGGTAAAGTGTAGGTATGTGTGTGTGTGTGTTTGTGTCACAGGTGGTAACTTGGTCTTGATCAAGCACACAGAACAATGGGTTGACTGGGTTGCAGGCCCCCTATGTGTGTGTGTGAGACAATAAGCATGCTAAACTGGCCAAGTGGTCATCTCAGATGATGAGAATGCCTGTGTGTGTAAGACACCCCCTGGTGAGGCAGAACTTGGGATATGCTATGTGGGTCCAGGTGTGGGCTAGCGGGGCTTTATTAAAATGTAAATAGGCCGTCTGGTTGCCTGGGGGATGCAGACATTCAAAAGTTGCAGAAGTTAAGCTGATTCTACCTCATTACAACTGTAAGACATATAAGCAAGGAGAATAAATATATTAGAAAGTAACCAAAGCTCAGTAGTTCTGCACAATAATCAATACATCTGTAATATGTATAGACAAGTAAGATAAAGTTATGAGAGGTAACTAAAAGGAACTAAAGTTATGAGAGGTAACTAAAAGGAACTAAAGTTATGAGAGGTAACTAAAGGTATGAGAAGTAACTAAAGCTTATAAAGTAACTAGAGTCTATAAGAATCAAATCTTACAGTTCCCTCAGCAGGCAGTGGAAATCACCCCCCGTACGTCCGCAGGCTGCAGGATGCCTACGTTTACTCTCTTTGAAACGTGGCCTTGGCACAAGGTGTTGCTGTTGAGGGCCAAAGCCTGGTTTGCTCCACCTTTCTCCGTGACTAAGCAGGTTTAAGGTTAACAGCCTCACACATAAAGATACGTGTGCATGGGCACAAAGTTCAGTCAGACTCACTCTGCATTTACTCACAATCCTGCAGCGCCATCTTGTGGACTGATGTGATGTCAACAGCCTGATGGATAACAGAGGAGGATCATCTCCTAACACACAGACACACATATTTCCATAGAAATATAAAAGATCAGGGACGTGGAGACAGTTAGGTGTCTTCATTAGTCGGTATCAGCAGATTCACTCTAATAAACTATAGTAACGTTTACTCTTTTACATTGTGTCATGAGGAAAGTAACTAAGTCCAAATTCTGAGGTACATGTACTTTGAGTGGGATTTTAAATGCAGGACTTTTACTTCTGAGTATGTTATTTGTACACTGTGGTATTAGTACTTTAACTTAGGTAAAGCTTTTGAGTACATAATGAAACTAAAGAACCAGTGAACGTCCATTGAGGTGGAAACCAGAGAAATGCTGCCACCTGCTGGTAAAAGCCCAATTTAAAGAATTTCGGATAAGGATGACCACCTTTATTGGCCAAGTATGTTACACACAATGAATTTGTTTCCGGTATAAAACCGAAAGCAGCCATCCTCGGCGTTAACTCAACCGATGGTTCTAACCATCCCAAGGACAAGAACACTTCGACATGTGGACTGCAGGCAACGAGATTCGAACTTTAAACCTGGTTGGGAGACGACTGCCCTACCCACCGCACCACTCTCACATCACTATTGCATTATTGCTTTTGGTGGTAAGCAGTAACTAAACTTGGATTTGGTCGTGCTTTTTTTATTCAGATGTCTGCAGATGTGACAGTCTGTCTCAGATTCTGAAAGCTGATTCTCTGCTGAAAAGCATCAAACGTGTGTTCGTCCAGGTAAAGAAAGCTCTGCTCCTCCTCTCACTGTAAGGGAGTCGGGATGACGGTGATGACGTCATGTGTTTGTTTACTGGCCGCCGTGTGACGCATCCAGGTGGACCTGCCATTGCCTAACAGCCGATTCACTTTTAAGAAAACACGTCTTAACCATCGAAATGGCATCTTTTTTTTATCACAACACTGTTCAGACAGTCACTCATATTAATCCATAGATTTACCGGACCTCCAGTCATTTCGACCGATTTCGGCGTCTTTTTGTTTCGGGTGTTTGATGACATCATTTATTTACATTTTATGCACAGCTCTGTCATTTCTGTGCACTTCGCGCTTCTTCGGAAAGAGACGCGGCTTTGAAACATCCGAAGAGTCAAACGCGTTTACAGTATTATTCTTATTGTATAAAACCGTGATGCTTTACTATTCCGCTCTCCCCTGGGGTTGTTTGTGCACGCCCGTGCTCTAGGCTACATGCTGAATTCATGTCCTAACACCTGGCAGTTTGCACGGCTTTATCTGAGCACGCCGCCCATCTGTTTGCACCATGCGTCCTGTCCTCGGCACCAAAACAGAGAAGCAGAGCGAATTTCAAGGTCAGGGCCAGCGGGGGAGGTGCCTGCGCGGCCCCGACAGGGGCCCCCTGTCTGCTGCTCCTGCGTTCCCTCAAATAACCTGTCAGCTTTTGCAAGTATGTCACTTTGTCATTGTGGGTCACTGAGTGTGGACTCACACCCAGTTTTTCCGTTTCAAATTAAATGCACAACACAAAGTGTGCAAAATCACACAGTATGTTATATACATACGGTGCATAATACACACATGCATGTATTCTGTGTGTGTGTGTGTGTGTGTGTGTGTGTAGTTAGCCTGTTATTGTCTGTAGTTACTGTTATTGTGTTACTGTGAAGTATTTACACACCTCTCCGCTTCCAACACGTGAACGCTACTTTACGTGATGGTGCGCGCGTTTCTGTGACACGCCCTCTGTCACCACCACGTTGACCTTGGGTGGGGGCGGGGGACTTGCTCTATACAAACTGCACCGCAGCGGGACTCCGGCGGATTCCTGACCGGCCTGCTGCCACAGCGCACGCACGCCTCCCGGCTGCGGCCACAAATGTCCTGCTCGCCTGCCCAGCCCCACACCGGGCGTGAGCTCCCGGGAACGTCCATGGAGAACGGCCTGGAGGAGGAGAGAGATCTGGACGACGAGGTGTACGCTTCTCAGCTGGAGAGAGTTATGAGAGACAGGAGGAGAGCCAAGTCCCTGCCCGCATACCCGGCGGCGCTCCTGGATGGCGTTTCCACGAGCAGCAGGAGCAAGCGGGTGAAGTTCGCCGACTCCATGGGGCTGAACCTGGCCAGTGTCAAGCACTTCAGCTCGCTGGAAGAGCCGCACATCCCGAGCAAGGTTCTGTCGAGGCACAAGAAATTCTCGCTGCCGCAGCAGGACCTTCTTGGCGACCTGTGCCAGAGCTTCAAGTTCAGCCTGAACACAGACCAACTGGTCGCCGCGTTCCCGGAGCCCCGGGACACGGAGCGAAGAGTCCAGCAGCTCCGCATCTGTCTGGAGAAGGTCAGCATCACCCATTTTGACGTGCGCGGGCAGATCCGAGTTTTGACCGGCTGCACCGACAAAGAGGTTGGAGTGAGGTACACTTTCAATGAGTGGCTCTCCTGCATGGACGCGCAGGCTCTGCCCGTGGCCACGAATCAGCCGGGGCTTGTGGGAGAGCGCTTCAGCTTCACCGTGTACACGCCGCCTTTCATGGACCCCAGCTCGGCCGTGCACTTCGCCATGTACCTGAAGACCCAGGAGGGGGAGTTCTGGGACAACAACCAGGGGCGGAACTACACCCTCAGGTACCACTGCACGCCCAGCACCACGCCCTTCGTCAGCGCCGCTTTCCACGCCACCTGATCGGTGCGTGCGTCGTGCGTAAAGGCCTTCCATAAGGCCGAGTACAGCAGCTGGGTTCTATCTGGTGAATATGAATACATCGTCTGTGCTGTTCTGTGTTGCGGCGGGTCTTTCTGAGACCACGTCACAGCGAGAAGACCCAGCGACCACAAACACAGACCGAGGCACATCAGTGTTTCTTTACTTTGATCTCTGATGATCAGTTAGTTCCTGAATCGGACACGTTCCAGCCAAACGCCTGAACTACATGTATTTCTGAAGGACACCAAGGCAACTCAGACATATGTGGATATTTTTCTGAAACTTCCACTTGAACACAGAAACAGACACCGAGTCTCTGCTGCTTCTGAAATGTGCATCTACTGTCAGCAAGTTTCGGACATCACTGGACATTTGTTATAACCAGTAAGAAGTGTCTCGGCCTCACGCTGAGAGGAAGGATGTGTTAATTTCAAAATAAAAGACCTGAGGTCTGTAGTAAAGGGTAATCGACTAGGTTTGGCGCATTCATGTCAAATGCCTCATTTTGATCCACAGTGTTTCCTGTGTTAGAGCTGTAGCAGTAAATCCAGCTGTTTGCATTGTGTGACTTCCTGTCAATCAGCTTCTGTGGCCTTGCAGTTGTTTGACAACGTGTTGAGGTGGAAGTGTTTACTGGAGCACCACCATCCCTTTATATTCAAGCTGATGTTGTCTGGCTTGTTCTGTTTTCATGTTTAAGGAACACAGCTGTCGGCATCTCCACTCATCCAGGTGTGCTGCCTTGCAGACAAGTAAACCAGGTTGTCAAACAATAAATGCTGCTTACAAACGAAGTGTCCTGACTCGTTTGATTCTGGTAAAACACTAGCTCTCTGGCTGAGGGGAGAGAGCACCCAGCTGGAGCAGCTGCCAGTCGGGCCCCAGGGCTCTGTGGGGACATTTGGTAGTTTGGAGTTTGTATTTACACATAAACACACTGTCCAAACAGAAAGCAAGTGCACATTTACACACTGGTTCATACGACAAAGGTCGCACTGTCATGGGAATATCGCTTTGAGCTGGAACAGCACCATGGGACAGTGGACACAGTGTTGCTCTGAGTCATGTCTGGTTTCTTTTTAAACTGACAAAGAGCTGCACATTTATTAACCTACACTATTACTGTGCTCAGACCATCTGTAGTGACAGAAACACATTTACTGCAGCATTCATCGATAGCTTGTAAATACATTTTTCAATAATCGAGGATTTCAATAGTTTTAAAATGTTTTGCAGAAATTATTTATTAGTCCATGTTTTACACAAATATAAAACTATTTCTATCTGACACATGGAGATTTTCAGTCTCATGTGGCTGAATGGACACGAGGACATCAGCCTCGTCCTCTCCATGAACAGAAACAACATCCTAAATGAAGTCTGGTCATGTTCTGGCAGACAGCGCTGCAGCGAACACAGAGCGGCTACCTGCAGCTGGATGGTCAGTCTAATAAGACAAACATAGGAAGGCTTATACTGGCCATTTGTGCTCTTTGCTGTAGATTTGTGGCTTCTCTAGAGCTTTCAACTGCAACTTAAAGCCTTCAGCAACAGATTTTGTTCCAGTTAGTTGGTAGGACGTGGTGGAGGTGGTCTCTGAATGGCTCACCTGCCATGCTACTATACTAAATACGCCACTAACCATTAGTATGCTAATGTGTTAAACACTGATGCAGGCTGCTTTTGACAAAAACATACAAACTCCACCATCAACATTTTTGACTCGGCTCAGGTTAGTGGGCCAGAGCTCGACAGTGTCACCTGCAGCTGGACTCAGTGCTGACCTATTTCCTTAGTCCAGTATTAGCACCAATTATTATTATTATTAACCAGAAAAACAAATGCAGCCATGCTAACAAGCTCAAACTACAGGTGTAACTGAGCACCCTGCATGTGCCTGTCACCGAGTGAGCCAACTGATCCAGACTCGTACTGTTACAACGGGACACTGTGCAGCCGGTTCTGTTCCTGTCGATTCCCAGTGGGAGAACATTTGTTCTGTACTACATGTATCATGTATTTTTTGTGGGAGCAAACGGGCACGCGCCTCCACAGCTGTGTCCTCCTGTTTGTCCATTGTCATCTTTACACCAGGGCCAAAGTTTAGGCTGATGCCCAAACAATCCTGTTGACAAGCCAGAGCACATCTGTTTGATCAGTCAACACTGACCATGAGGCTCCAGGAGATGCAGCAATGTTTCAAAGCAGGGCTGTAGCTCGGTTTGCATTGTTCCCCTTGTGATCATGGAACTGGCTTCAGCTTAACTAAGACACGATCACCACATTGTTTTAAAAATGACTGTGTGACCGTGACAGTTTCTTGGTCACTTCATAATGCTATACTACATGGCACGAAACCAGTGAGATCCTCAGTCTCCCAGACACGGGGCTATGGAGAGGGTCTCCGTAAACTTACACCACCAGACTTAATTATAAAGCAGTTAATTAGAAGCAATTATCCAGTAGAGGAAGTGCTGTGGAAGACAGGACCCTGCATGGGATGCACCATCGACATGTAGTGGACCCTGGGAAATCCAACCCGAGGCTGGACTGAAACAGCAATGAGGCCCAGATCAGCAAAGACAGGGACAGTCCAGTGAAGCAGTTTTCAGCTGCAGCTCATTTGTTCACCCTTGGTTATGATGGCTCAGCTGGGGGGTCACCAAGTCACAGACCATTGTCCCTGAGAGAACGAGCAGAAATGTTTCAGTTAACTCTGCAATGCAACGTCTGCAGGTTTGGTACTTAGCCACGTTTCATGACAGAACGTTCATGCTGTGCAGATGATCTCCTGCAGAACATCACTGGCCAAAGCACCACACACAAGCTTCAGGCCACGGTCAAGGCCGCTGTTGTGAATGTAGGACTCGTGCACGACTCTGTGTGTGTGTTAGTTTGATGAAACAGCAGACACTGGTTGGGCAACATGACCTTTTACACTGGTCTTTGTGTGTAACTGGGCCAGTGTGCTTGCCCTTCAAACAACAGACGGGCCTATTAATAGCACCTGGTACCTGGTTGGTCAGTCCCTCCTTCACCCTCCTGCACAAAAACCAAACACACCTCAGAGCTCACTCTGCTGCAGCGTCCTGCCATGTCCTGCTGGTCTGGGAAAAACCTGTTTGTCAGGTGAATCAGCATCAACACCTCGTACCTTTTTTCAAGCTACTTGATGTTAGACTCATTAGTCAGCAGATACAAGCACATCACAACATGTTTATTAGACACGGCTCAGACATCCAGTGGAAAAACAAAAACAACAGCAAATACTGAAACAGAAATGAGAACTAGCATTGTCTGAGGCCTCACCAGCAGATTCACCCTAGAAAACCAAACAAAACATGTTTTTCTTGGACACAAAACTATGAAGCAAACATCACAACAAGCCTGGTAATTCAATAACTGCCTGTTATTTTTAAAGCAAAGCCAGGTTCTCAGATATAAACATCTGATGATGGACTGGACAGAGCATCTGAAGGCATTACACCGGGCTCTGAGTGGACCTGGCTCCAACCTCTGAGAAAACACCTGGCAGATTAATCGGCAGTTGAAGGAGAGTTGGTTACAGATGAGGCCACAGATGGACACGGTTTCACTTTCATGAACTGGGAAACTGCTGACTCAGACTGAGAAACAGCTGAAAACAATCAGTGATCACAAACAAATCAACTCATATCTGATGGGTGTGTCCCTCACAACAATGATTTAACATCTAGACTCCAGGCAAACTCCAGGTGCTTCACTCCTACGCCTCCACCTCCGTCCTAATTAAATAGCTGGTTGGTGGCGATGTCAGGGCGCCAGGTCACTTCCAGTTGTTTGCTGGGACACTGCTCCACCTCCGGCGTCTCTTACTCCACCACGGTCTTCTGGGTCTCGTACATCTTCCCTATGGAGACCTGCGGAGACAAACACACATTGGTCTGGGTGTTTTGGCTGTGTGGAAGTCCGTTCTTAGCAGGTTTGTCCCCGTGTCCCTCCCAAACATACAATTTGAAAACTGGCAGATGTAGAACTGTTGTTATTTATCATTTCCTCTGCTTGGGTTTGCTGCCTTGACCCCTGATGAAAGTGTAAGCTGAACACTGGCTCTTTATTTTTACACAAATTCACTGAAAATAATAAGCCTGCTATTTGAAATGAACCAGAGTTCCAGTGCTACCGGCACCGACAGACACAAAATGACCACAAATACATGGACCATGGCCACAAAGTGACACAAAATGATCAGATAGAAACACACAACCTCCATGAAGAGACACAGAGATGCAAGGTGACGAAAAAAAAACAGATGCAAAGCAACCACAAAGCACCACAACATGTCTTTAGATGTGGGGGCCCTTCACATGTCTGAGCCCAGGGGCTGTGGGTGGAGTCTGTCCTGAGGGTGGCGCTAGAGCAAGGTGCTGTGTGCGTATCCAGTCACTGTGTTAAGTCAATATTAACCTGCTACTCTCAACCCATCTGTTGTCAAATAAAAGAGCCAAGTACAGCGGAGTGTCATGCAGCTGGAGTGTGTGTGTGCATGCGCGTGCCCAGGCCAGAGTTCACTATTGATTTTCTCATTTTTCTGCACAGAAACACGTGTGACCAAACAGAGCAGATGTTCTGGACACAGAGTTGCTGAGTGTCTCTGCTCTGTCCTGTTCCAGTCCCAGTACATCAGCTGGACGGTCTCCCAGTTGTCCCAGGACACTCAGACCCACGCACACACGGTACCTGCACCAGGTTACAGACTGTTGTGTAACTTCTCTAAAGTGTTTACTATATGAAAAAGAAGAGTAAAATTACTTCCAGTGGAAACACACACCAGGTTCAGACACAAGGGGGTAGCACGAACAGAGACGCGTCAACAGTTGGTGCAAATACTCTGTGGCGTGCACGTGGAGACTGACTGGGGGAGAGAGGCCGCTCAGCCCAGTGAATTGGGCCTTTCTCCTTCCACAACCACAAGACCCAGGGCTGACAACGTACCAGTCGACCTTCACCTGAACACACCACACAGCCAGCAGCCGACTAGCACACATGGTCTGTGTCTGTACAAGAGCGAGGAGCTCTCCACACCGGCAGATGGCGGTGGCCTGAAAACTAGGAAGACAGACGCTGACCGCTGGCCGACGGTGGCCTGGTGGAGGAAACACAAGACAAGAATCCCCCAGTCAGAACTTAACATGTAGGATACCTCAGTATGTCCAGAAGGTGCGGACGGCAGCAGAGAAGCTGTGGACGACAGCAGAGAAGCTGTATCTGCTTAAATGCCTAGAGCTGCTAACATTTCTGAGCATGTGTGGTTATGGAACTGATACCAGCATGCACCTCACCGCGTGCGTCATCTCCAAGTTAAAAACAAACATAAGAAAACATACTTTCAAATAAATCTGCACTAGGAAACCAAAGAACAAACGGGGTCCTCGTTGGTGCCGAACATGCCTGAGAATCAATAGGTTTATAGTCTCCTTCAGTGGTGCAGTGGCAGCCGCCGGGACGTGCACATTCC